GGCCATAGGGCTGGCTGGCTGACTGGTTGGGCTGGGGGGTCACTTAGGGGCCTTTTAAACCTAGTCTTCAATGTTATGGCCCTGCAACAAACCGCTATGATAAACACAAATAGAAATGAAGGAAGATGCGCGTAAACATTTACATCTATACCAGTACTCTCAAGATTATTAGACAGAAAGTCATGAAAGCATATTGCTTACGGGCTACTCCATATATGCATATATTACCCATGTATCCATGACAGGTGTAGACATATGTATGTTGTGTTTATGCATAACACCACTATGCACTTATGTCAAGAGTCATTTGTATGGACGGACAGGCGTGCGATACACACAGACTCATCATGGATCTACTGAGCGTTATAGGAGCAGAAAATAAGACATTACCCGCCCCATATTTTCGACACTCTCCACTTGTAGCAAATTTGTATATCATGGGTTAATAGCTCTCCAGCTTGTACTTAGTGATATCGGAACTCAATACCAATCCAAGTTCATGTCTTGCTGTTGGGGTCAACAGCCTTCTGAATTGACTAGATTTATTTTGGTCATCACCTATCTAATTTGTATTTTGTTGGATATGGGCCAATACCCATCTATATTAATATCCATGTTGGTGAGACTCGACAAGAAATAAATTCATGATCTGCTGTTGGGTGCTAATCAGTCAAATTCGGTTTTGTTGCTGTCTAAATGTAGTCTATCATTCTTGTGGGTTACTATTATGTAGTTATGTAGTTTGTTATTGTTTTTAGATCATTATCTAGTGTGAAAACAGGGAATAAGCCAGGTTTACTCGTAAAATACGGGGCCCAATGTCTTACACTCTCTTTAGGAAATATTAGAAGGCCAATGCCTTCGCATCAGAGAGAAGCAGCAAAGTCGGAAAGCCGGAAGTAGTCAAACAGCATGATGCATGGCAAGACCCAGCTGAATCCTAAAGATAGCGTGGTTGCAGAAACCCCAAATTATGGAACTAGGCCCTTGAAAGTCAGATCCTCTAAAGCAGTTCATGGGTCAAGCCCACATATGAGATGATGAGTGCGAGATCCAAACTGCTGAAATAAGCGGATGCCACGGATAGCCCTTGACAGGGCTGCATGATGCCCAAGCCATCCCCGAACCCAAAAAAATATTGACTCGTAAGCCTCTTCGAGAGGAGATGATGGCTGGCAAACCCGCAAACCCTATGAATAATGGCTGGATCTTAAACCACGAGGCATTATTGATTTCGCACATGCTTGAACATCTGTCTGGCGGTTTGCACATCAACATCTTTGTTCGTGACTTCTCAACCGGCCGCCCATGACACATATTGAGTCTGAGTTTAAGATTCTGGTTTTTAGATATAAAACAAGAATCATGTTTAAGACAGTGATGATATTTGCATATATTTATACAAATGTATGTAAACAAGCACATACACACACACACACACTCATGCAGCTTGGGTTCAAATTCTTTGGGTCCATTTTAATCCAAATACAGTCTTATATATCCAAACGCAACAATTTGAGCATGTGAATGTCGCGGGTCACTAGCCAGTCAAATTATAGCTGTTGTTGATGTTGTACTGGGCCGATAGCCATCCGAGTTCAGTTCGCTATTGTGGGCCAATACGCATGTAAATTCAGTTTGTTGCTCTTGTGGGTCAATACCCATCCAAATTTAATTTGTTTTTGTTGCCTTTCGACATGTATCAAAATTCAGTTTCACATTATGGGCCGATACCCATCCAATTTCGATTTGTTGTTCTTGTGGGTCAATACCCACTCCATACCTTGCTAAAATCAAGTTGCATTATCATGGATCAATACCTCCTGTACTCAGTGATATCGGAACTCAATACCAATCCAAATTCATGTCTTGATGTTGAGGTCAACAGCCTTCTTAATTGATTAAGTTTATTTGGCTCGTCATGAGCTGTTGAGGGCAACACTACCATAAGACGTTGTGACGATGCTTACTGGGAAGTATGAGCAAGACATTTCTAGAGTAAAAAACTCGAGGAAAAACACTGAATTCCTCGAAAACACGCGCCGCCACGGCGTTCCACTCTCCAGTATGGTACGCTCCAGTCAAACAAAAACGTTTGGGAAAACAACAAGCAGCAAGTGCACAGTCAAGCTTCAACGGGGCCACCGAAAACTTGCTAATTAGCAACCCTGCGCTGCGATTCTGGTTCAAAGGACTGTCACTCCTAATCCACAGGCGGTTGTAATCCACAGGCGGCGGAAACTTCTCGGTAGATTTGGCAGCCCAAAACAGTGAAAGCCATTCTGATCCGCCTCCACGGCACTGGGTCTTCTGCATCTGGGTCTCCTCATCACCATTGGGCTTCCACAGGCCTTCGAGGCCGAGGGTTGAAGCGCAAGGCTCAAGAGAACTGCGAACCCTGAACGTTTCCTCCTGTCCCTACTTTCGCCCCAGCTGCCTCGATGAAGGACCTCGGCAGCGGCGTCGTGCACCTGGCTCGAAGTCTCTTGGCACGCAAGCTTCATTGAGACAACAGCTCTCCACCTTGGGCCTACTTGCGCGCCTTCTCCCAGCCGTGGAAGCGGCCGCGCTGGCTCAGCGTGCCGACCGCGTTCGGGAAGGCATGGTGCACCTGAGGCAAGTTTAAGCAATTTGGACTGCTGCAAGCTGACACGGCGGTGCTCCGGATTTTGTTGGGCATTCAACCCCGAAACTCATACAGTACACCGCGGCCCTTTGACATTGAAACATAGCCGAGCCACGTCGTGGAAGAGCATCTCGTTCCAGCGGTGCTTCCCGCCGAGCACCATGGCCATCACGTTGTGAAGCACCGGCCACGTGCGGCCAGGATCCTGCGCGAGGAACTCGTTCCAAGGCAAGCCTGGGCTGTAATGATGATAATCAAAAATAATATCTTTAGGGTTTATAGGGTTTATAGGGTTTATAGGGTTTAGGGTAACATCGGCGGGATTGTGAATTGGAATGGGCGTTTCGAGATAAGATTAAGCATGTTGATATATGTTGGTAAGACAGAAACCTAAGAAATAATGTTGGTAAGAAATTATGGCTTCCACACTGGCCACGGATGTTAGAAGAGTTGCCATATGAGGATCCTGCATTTAAGGTTAGGGTTTCGGTCGGGGTTACCCTAGCACAGCGTTGAGGGTTTCGGGCTTGGGGTGAACCTCTCTGAGACCAAACGGGAAACTCAATATAATCCAAAATGGAAGCCGCCTAGAAGCTGTGAGTGAAGTTGGTGATGAACATCCAGGCCGCGGAGTAGCCGATGCGAGCGAAGACGGACACAGTGAACATGAACCGCCAGCCCTCGCTCAGAGGACGTCCCAAAGGGTAGGTGCCGAGCAGCCACACGCAGGCCCACAGGGAGAGCACGAAGGCATTGTGCTTGATGCGACGCGGAATCCACTTGCTCCAAAACCTGATCATGAAGGGAGTTGATATGGAAGCCAGAAGCACATGTCTAGCCTTTCTCGTTCCCTTGCTTTACGCCTGATACGCCACAAACCTAGTCACGCCGAGAAGCTCCTTGTTGCACTTGCCACCTGCACCCTCGTCGGGGAAGTGCATCCACCACTCCAAGGC